AACAATAGCTTTTGATCTTGGCATATTAGAGTGCAACTGGCTAAACACACGAGAGCACTTGGGATTTAAAAATAAACCCTCATGATTTAGTAACTGTCACTATGGGCCTAGCTGCAGATTGTTATAAAAACTTTTCCTACTTATTTTTGTAAAGGATCAGACAAAGTGCAGACAATCCCCCACCCTTCGATGACACGCAGCTCAGAAGGACACATGCCTCTTCTGCCTTTCTCTAGAACTCCCATTTAAAGCCAATCCAATTCCAGATTCAAATTTATTTATCTTGAACTAGTTTTGGAACAGACAGAACTGTAAGCAGATGTAGTCTAGTTTTTAACTTCAGGGTCCAGCTTTCAAAGAATATGAGCAGCCACAGCCCTTAACTTCAATGGACACTGGAGCTCTGAGTCCCAGTTAGGTCAGGCCATCTGGGTTGCTGCCCATGTGGTGTGCTAATCTAGTTTATTCCATTTCCAATTTCAAAGTTTAAAGAGAAAATCTACATTTTTTCAAAGCTAGTAATTAAAAGAAATGCCTGACTCATGCACTGACAAATTCCAACAGCTGCTACTTCTATAGACAAACTTGATTCATTAGGTCTGTGATATTTAATTTTTTTTTTTAACAACAACACATACGGTGGCAAGAGCTTAAATAGCTGAGTGGCTTTACGTGACCGGCACAGACAGTTTTGAGCAAACAGGAGTCAACAGATTTAGATTTCTAATTGGCTATTGCCAATTACCATCGATCAGCAGCAATGGGAAAGGACCATTGGCCATTAAAAAGTTCAAGTATGCTGTGCTTCAAGCGTAATGGTCATTTTGATGAGTTTTCACTTTTAAAGAGAGAGATATCAGGCTGTTTCTATTTTTCACCTGTTCCCTGTCACCCATTTAACTTTAAAGACTCATCTTATGCAGGAAGGAGGAGAAAAACAGGAAAATAATTCAAGCCTACCAGCCCTATTCAAGTCAACGAGAGTCTGGCTCCTTGTGTCATCATGGAGACTCTTTCCACTGTCTTGTTCCAACTGAATTTGTTTAATCCTCACCGTTTTGGTCACCATCTGGCTCATTTTGTTGTCTATGCAGAGGCTGTAAGACAGACTTCCATTCACCGCAATAGGAACTCTTTGCTGAGTGATTTGATAGCCAGCCTGTCAACAAAATTAGCTTTATATTTAAAGAAAACATTCACCTTTCAGAAAGCAGCAGCACGGCCAAGTGCAAATATTATAGACTAAGAACTAAACTGAAAATGCAACATCTTCCATAGTGACCTATATAAGAGGACAGAACACAGGCAGATGTAAATGCAGAAGTTATTTTGCTTAGCTGGAAAGTAACCAAGCTAGAAGATGTGGCTGGAATTCGCCATAACTGTGAGAAGCTGGAGGTCTGGCAAAAGTAAGAGCACACCTCAATATAGGCAAGCGTAAGACACTACACTAATGCAGAAATAATCAATAATCAACTGCACAACCACCTGTCAAGGATGACATAAATTTTGCTGGTATCGCCTTGGGGCAGGAAATGGACTAGAAGAGAGACTTCCATGCCTGTGGTTCCGTGATCATGTTAAATCTTGTCTGGAGCCAGACACGGTACCTCCATCCCCAGGCTGGGACTATCACTCATCCTCCTGTCGGGCTGAATAACCCTCTCTGCCTGTTCAGACATTTACTCATTAGAGGGGAGGAGAGGGAGAGAGGAAATGAAGAAAATGAGAAAACTCAATTTCATTAATGTAGCAATTTAAAAGGTAGACACTGCAACCCCACATAAGGCACACGTCTGGGACTCCACTCAGAGAGGAACCTGCTAGCCAGAAAAGGGGCTGCCAGCGACAAGGTATTGCAACAACTGCAATGACATAAAAATACAGAAGTGAATCAATTACTCTGTTGTGATAGGGTCTCCATCTCTTCCTCCTTCCTAGCCTGCTCATGCCCCCAGCAGTGAGAGTTAAAGAAAAAAGCACCTGCCAAATGTAAATGAACTGGGATGAACATTTGCATATTTTGCAGGGAGGATGAGCTTACTCTGATATGTAGAGATGGTGACAGTGCACTGGAATGGAGAACAATGGTCTGGCCCTGCGAACAGCTCAATTTATACGTGCAATGAAGTGCATGACCTTCTAGCCATAATCACTACAAGAAAAATAAAGTAACTGACTGCGTGCAGCTATGCTAATCACACAGCTCTTCCCATCTCCTAAAACTTCTCATTAAAATGATTTTTTTAAAGCCTGAAATAGTAAGTGACAATAAATAACTGGAATCCCATTTCCCATCCAAAGCCCCATTTTCAGGAGTAACAATAATCTCATTGTCAAACGACCCTAAGAGCTGGATTTATTTTATCTGTTCTGCACAGCTCATTAGCCTAAACTCTGCATCTTATTACAGGGTTCCCAACTAGACTGTTTCACTATGAAATGTGGGTTGGGCAGTTTACTGACAGTGCTTAAACTGCATAAGTCTGCCAGTAGAAGGCCAGAATTACACTTTTCAAGCTAATAAAAATGTGTCAGCATCTCCTTGACCAAATTTCCATGCTTATTTGACCAGAGGAACCTGTAACTCATGTCTGCAGACAACAGCAGCCCACTTGGTGCTGCACACACCTTCTTCCACCTCATGCCTCTAAACTCATAGATGTGGTTTCTTTCCCATGACAACATTCTTCCATGTAGCTTCTATGCAGCAGACTGATAGCAGCAGATATCACAAGAAGAAGAGGGATTGTTTTCAGTTTAACAGCAGAAGCCACCAAAAGTGGCTTGCAAACAAGTCTGCGATGTTTTTGGTGTTTCTTTATGATGTGCAAAGGAATTCTGAAAGTAATGTTTATTTCCTGCTATTCCACTTTTTCCTCCTTCAGGTCTGGAAACGGGCTTTAAGGTAGTTTTACAGGTAAAAAAAAGTATTGGCAATTCAGACTGGTAAGTTTGTGTTTCGCATTCCCAGTAGCTCACTACAGAGCACCCAACAAAAGGGCCTCTTAATGGCTTACAAATATTAGCAAAGTTATCCTCAGAAACCAAAGCAGTAACTACATCAAACTTCCCAGAAAAGCCACAAGTTCCCAATCCAGAAGAAAACAGAACAGAAATCTCTTCTGAGATCCAGGTCTCCAGTGGACACCTTTAATATAATCTTCTTTTTAAGGTGGGAAGCAATAGTATTTGAATATGTTTTATGTAACTTAAAAATATTTCCAATGCCTGAACAAAAGAGTGGAAGAGAAAGTATTTTGGTTAAGAATACAGCACCTCTACACATTAATCTGGGACCTGAGGGACCTCCCACACAGCTTCTCTGGATGTCCAGGACATCTCACGTAAAGAGAGGGTAAGTGAACATGTCTGATCTTTCTCAGATAAAATAGAAACAGATTTTTTTTTTCTTTTCAGACCTTCATGCCAAAATCAGAGGAAGTAAAATTAGTGCCCTCCCTTTGACAGGTTAGTGTTAGACTGAATATTCAGTACAAATAAGCTGTCAGAAAAAAAAAAAGTTTACAACTAGGAAGGTTTAATTTCATTAAAAATAGAAAAGAAAGGCTCAAACGCTGCTGAATCCTGCCGCAATGTCAGAATTCAGGTTCTTAAATGATTTCAATTTTTCTATACTCGTATCAAGTGTGGCAAAATGCATTTGACCTCCAGTGATACCTTCTACCAAATATGAATCCTACCAACAAATCACACTGCAGAGACTCAGTTTCTCAGGTGTGGGGTTTTTGTTGTTGCTGTTGTTGTTTTTAAATTTATTGGAACTACTGACTGAGAAACTTCTAAGGGAAATTAAATATTTTTAGGTCCCTAAGCACACACAAAAAAGACACTATTACATTTATACCACTGGAGCCTGTGTTTGTTATACATTCACTTTAAATGAAGTACTATTATCAGACTGCTTTTACCCTAACAGACAATTAGTACTAAACACCAGGAATGGAGAACTTCAGGGGCAAAGCAGCTCCAGCTCCAAATTCAATTACATTAAGCTACTGGAATCGTGCAGCTAAGCAAGGAGTCAGCAATCAGAGCAATCATATTCAATCAGTGAGCACCAGGGTACAGCCATCTATTCATCAGGGCACAGCACAGCATCCTGTTGGGACGAGCAGAACACCGACTGAAAACAGAAAAAGCATCTCTTCACTCATCCCCCGTTGCCATCCGTGCTCCAGCCTTGTCCTTTCCTACAGCCATAAAGGGACCAGCTATACTGCATACTTACAGGCAGATCTGCATAGAAATAGTGTTTTCTGTCAAACAAGGACTTCTTGTTTATGCTGCAGTTGAGTGCCAGGCCTGTCATCACTGCTGCTTCTACACATCTCCTGTTGAGAACCTAAAGAAACATGACACATGGTTTTGCTCAGATACTCAGTATGTAACAAATGTGTCTCCCACACACTGCCTTATATGGAGCATATATTCAATTCTGCTTGCCTTCAGCCACCATTAGATCTCTTTCCTTGTGTGGGTAGCTCTTCTTCATCATTAAAAGTCGTGGCTGCTGCAAACTGACAAAGCTTTAAGATGAAAAAACAAGCCATTCAGCCAGTTTGTCATGCCACATAAGGAGGTGTGCACTGTTCTGGCTTGCTGCTTCTGCAAACATTCCAGTACTTTTGAATCTTCAAGGGTGCAAGAGACAAATCATAGCAAATGATAATTGACTTGTAACCAGCTGACAATCCATACTGGGAACTGGAAACGCAGGGGATTTGCATTAGGCACTGCAGTGCCATTTCAGGAAAACACTTCAGAACACCTGTAACAACCACGAATTAATGAGTATCATCTATACATAGAGTTCAATGCTTTTCTTAATCAAGATGAAATTAAAGCACACTTAAATGCTTTGCTAAAACAGAACCAAAGAGACATCAACTGATCCCACGGCTACAAGTGTACGTGCATTTCCAGTACCCCAGCAGCCCATGGGATTAAGGTTCCTGCAGAATGTCAAGTGATCTGAAGATCCAGCAAGGCCTTCGTGAAGAAATAAAGGAGTTAAATGCGGTTTCTCACCATTGACCCATCACTCTCAGTGCTGCACCCCTCCATCTCCTCAGCAGGGTCAGGATCAGGAGAACAAAGACAACTCCACTTCAAAAAGTACTAACAAACAATGTTTAAAAGTTACTTTGTTTTTCAGATGTGGTCTCATTAATTTAGCAGTTGGTTTAACTATCATCAAATGGATAAAACTGGAAAGTAAAAAAGAGTGAATTTGTCTTGGTACAACCCTGACATGCTCACACTCAGTATTTTGAACCAGGAACAAAACTTGATCCATCTTATTCTGCACTGTACAGCTGCCAAGAAGGCAATTTCCAGCAAGACCATTAGAGGGGCACATTACGTAAAAGAATCTACATGACTTCATCTGCACTGACCAGAACATAAAAGGCTTAAATAATGTTTTCTTCAATGCTTCTGACAGTATTTACTTTTTCTATTCTCCAGCCTGATTTCTGAAAACAGATTAAGCAGCTGCACATTTCCCATCGCCCCATGTCTTCAGCTGGAAAAGGGATCTCTTTGTTTTATTCGTCTAATATTTCAAAAATCAAAATAATAGGAGAAAATACGAGAAACTCTTCATGTAACACAAACTTTAAAATGCTTATACAGACAAGAAATTAAATGTTTAAGACATCTAATGGAGGAACTTTCAGATCTTTAGTGTAGCTATATATGGCTTAACTAGAACACATCATCTGTTCAGGGATATTTTATTTATTAAAAATTTTAAAAGATACATAAAGTAAACTTTAAATGAGAAAAAAGGAACAATTTCCTTTTGAAATATTGATCCACATCAAAAGGAACACAATTAGTTCTGACTGTAATCTAAATATCTACAAAATACTAATTTACTTTAGTATCATAGCTGCAGATCATTACAGAGTAGATGCTCCTGTTTTCAACAACTAAATGCTTCCAGACAGCACAGATACTTTTCTTACTGCTTAAGGAAGCTTGTGACAGTGCTAGTCAAATTGTTCAATGATTAAAATATCATAATATTTCTAAATACAGAAGCAAAATTTCCTCGTACTAAAGCGTTATGGCATGATCCTGTTCAGCTTCAGAAACTAGGGAGGACCATGCCAGTCACCAGAAGCCACAGAGGCTCCTTAAGGACTGGGTAGACACCACCACTACTTACAGCAGTGAGAAGCCTTTGCACTACTGTTTATGAACCATTTTTGGAGGTTTTGGGGAAAAGCTGGCATAAAAATGCGAAGTATTGATTATTTTCTACGTAGTATTACTAAGCATTCAGATGACTGTAATGCCAATGTGTCCCCCGGGTACTGAGTCACACCAGCCAATTCACTGTACATGCATCATTACTCATCCACCAGTACCACTTCCTGCGCTGCTGCTTTAATGATTTCTGTGGTGATAAAAGGCACTGCAAAACCGATTTCTCCCACTATGGCACACTGAGACGTCTACCATGCCAACCTGCTTCCTCTGCCCTGTTTGACTCTAAAGAAACCTCAGATGACCCTCCACTTCCTCAAAAATCAAAACCTACCTGTTTAAGAGTGCTCCATTTCTGAAGTAACTACTACTACTCATTCCAGTGATCAAGGCTGTGCACATAAAGCAGAATTGTTTAAGCAAACCAATACTGTTCCTTCAAACAAGCCTAGCTTTTCAAATAATCTTCAGTGATAAACATCAATTCAGTATGTGAAACTTCCCATACTAATGACCTACAATAAGTCCCCCAAGCTTGTTTACGATGCAGGAAGCTGTTATTAAGCTGACAGCTTTGACTAGCACCAAAGATTTAAATTACTGGCTTGAACTGACAAGCTGCCAGTCTGGTATGTTAGCAAAGTGCTGGCCTTGAAAGAAAGCTGTGTAGTTCCTGCAACAGCTCTGGACAAAACACAAGAACCTAAAAAGCTTTCTTAAATATTTCTGGTCTCCTTAAATGGAAGCATCTCTCCTAGGTATTTAAAGAAAATCCTAGAGAGCGATGACAAGAGGAAATGTAAACTGTTTGTATTGGAAACTCATGAAAAACACGAACAACGGGCATGGCAGCACCAGCACCAGCACCATTCCCCTTGTAGCTCCACTCTCCTGCTACAGCACCATGGAAACTGTGTGCTACGGACTGAAAGGACAATCCAGCCAAGAGCTCCCTTTTGCTGATACTCCTCTGCTCCTCACATCTACTTCACAAGTGGAAAGACTCCTTTTAAACATTTATCATTTCTATTTGCAAGGTCAGCTTAGTCAAGACCTTGGGTTTAACTACAAGACTACTGAACAGCTATACAGAACTATGCACAATATATTCAATGGCATAAATTCCCACCAAAAGCAATTTTTTAACAGCTTTTTCTTTAACAGCAGGTTTGCTCCTTATATTAATACCTTAAAAAAAGCACGCCCTCTTTTAGGTGAGGACACATGTTTCTATACTTAGTAAATGATTATTTCTACGTTTTAGATCATAGGTATGCAGCTTCTTGTTCTGCTAATGAGTATGACATAGGGTAATTGGGGAAGAGAGGAAAAAATGAAGAAACATCTCGCTCGCTCTCCTGGAAAAAGTTTATTTTTGCTACCTTTTGTCTTTAAAAAAGTAACCTTTGCCAAGACAGTGGCACCCAGGAAGTCTTAAGTTACGGAACAAAGTATTCCTTGTACTAAAAACAGCAAAATCAAAATAATTCCCCAGAAATTTTAAATGGTTTTGATTCTAGGTCACACATTTCAATAAAGTATATTTCATATTAATTTGCTATCTTAAGACCTTCATTCCTACTTCCAATCATGAAGAAATCAGCATTAATCAGATGAATTATAGGGCTGTTTATCTAAGAAATATTTAATTTTAGCTCCTTTTCATTCAAAATAACAGCTGGAAGAAGGAACTAGTGCAATGTACTTAGCCAGCTCTCTGTAGACCAGGCAGTAATCTTTAGAAACCTTAACAGATATATCTAATCATATTTCCCAGTACTCCCATTTCACATCACTCTAATTTTTATTTGCTTCCACTAATGGATATATTCAGTCTTACTATTCTCGCTGCGTTAGAAGTACCAACTGGCTCCAATATACAGTTCTTTGAAGTGCAATCGTAAGCTAAACTTTAAAATAAACTACTCTTATGTCTACTTAGTCCAAATGTAATTGTGACTGTTCTGTCTGACACTGCAGATGTGCACTTCAATGCAGCATTTTTCCTTGGCATCCTCCCACACAACTCCGAAGGGTGTAACTGCCTTGTAACTACGCATGTACAGAATGTACGTCACAATAAATGAAGAGCTGGCCATTTCCCAAATGACACATTTATTACAGTACGTGTACAATCACAGAATCACAGAACATTAGGAGTTGAAAGGGACCTCAAAAGCTCATCCAGTCCAATCCCCTGACAGAGCAGGATCACCAGACCAGGTCACACAGGAACGCGTCCAGGTGGGTTTGAATGTCTGCAGAGAAGGAGACTCCACAACCTCTCTGGGCAGCCTGTTCAGTGCTCTGGCACCCTTACAGTAAAGTTTTTCCTCATGTTCAGGTTGAACCTTCTATGCTCCAGCTTGCTCCCATTGCCCCTTGTCCTGTCATTGGCTGTCACTGAGAAGAGCCTGGCTCCATCCTCCTGACACTCGCCCTTTACAAATTGATAAACATGAATGAGGTCACCCCTCAGTCTCCTCTTCTCCAAGCTAAAGAGACCCAGCTCCCTTAGCCGCCCATCCCTCTAAGCATACAGTAAAAATTTAAAAGCCAAGCCAACCAGAGTCTTGTCATTTGTTTGGTCTGCAAAGAGCCCATACGTTCCAAAAACCAAGGTGTCTAATTGCAGGGGAAATTTAAAAAGAAGGCCAGCTTCAGTTTAAGGTCTTCTGCGTTTCAGTCCAGCGTCTACTTCACAGCGTATTTTCTGCCCTAATGTGAGCATTATGTTCTTATCCCTAAGGAAAAGGGAAACAGAGTAGGAGAGGAAGCACCAGACATCTTAAATTAAGATCTTAGATTAATAGAATGAGATTGCAGCTTAAAAAAAGATAAATAAAAATGGCAACTGAGAAACTGAAGCAGCAAAGGAAGATGGGGGGAGGCACTTAATATTTCTTAATATATTTTGTAACTTTCTAGTGCTGACTAGAAAAGTTCAGCAGCAGTAGAGAGAAATGCTGACCCCTGGGAGTAAGAAAAATGGGAAGGTATCACCAGATACAGAACTATTTAAATACTGATTGACTTCTGGGATTCTTAGACCTGTGAGATACAGGTCACTAACAAAAAAAAACACAGGAGGAAAAATCCATTCAGACCACTGTGAGGGCAAAGTGTTCA